TATGTGCGAGTCATAAAATCTCCCAGCAAATATTATTTTTCGGTGCGCTTTTTTGGCACTCGGTGCATTTAAATTCCATTGTTATTGTGACAAATTGGGGCAGCGAACAAATGCTGAAATTAAAGCGGGTTTGCACTGAGTCTACATGATCAAAGGGTTCGCACTAGTGATACCTTGGAATTGCATTGAATAATTATGTGGAATAGGAACTATCATAATGTTTTTGATATTTGTATGTAAAATCAAGAACTTAATTGTTGGAAAACTTTGTAATTCAGCGTTTAATTTGTCACCCAAACATGTTACCCAAAAACTGAACAGGGTACTTCCCACCTTGCAACGGATGACAGCTTCAGCCGTTCTCTCGTGGGGCCGCCCAACTTTCACCCATCGCCCCTTAGCCCCGACGGCCCTTAACCCACCGCTGGTGCTACGCAGCCATGGCACGTAGATTTGAATAATTGTGCAGCAGCGTGTAACGGTAAAACTGGCAGTAGGGGCTGGGGGGGGATGATGGAAAAGTTGCAGAGTGTGTGTTGCATTTTCCCCGCCCCATCCCCCGTTACTTTTGCTGGCATTGTTTTTGGGCCGCGGAAAACTCTGCTCTCGTACAATAACATTCTTTTTCTCACTTTCCATTCCTCATCTCTTCCCCTCCCCCAAATGTATGCTACATTTTGTTATTGTTAAATATGTTACGTTTTGAGCTGCATTTTGTTGTGAAAATAAAACGCTTTTGTTGTGTTGTTGTTCAAATTAAAAATGATTTAGATGCCAGCAAATTGAGTTCACTTTGGCTATAGTTTTGTGTGCAAGTTTTCGTTTTCGTTCTGGCGTGTAATTTAATTGTTTGATATTTGCCCGCACATCCACAGAAATGCGAAACGTATACATTTGTCCTCGTATCGCTACGTTTCAATCAAGCTTTGCCATTGTTTGAAGTCAGCTTTCCCCCAAAAAGAAAATTAAAGTTTATCCCAACGGCAACTAACGTGTTTCTGCTTTAATTTTTAATTTGTTTCTTGTCCATCAACAGTTTTGGGTGAAATAAAGATATATAAAAATTTTATGATATTTTAAAGGAGTCATAATATAGAGGGTCCTCAATCACGTATAGTTTTCTATATATTTTTCTATATACTTACTAACTTATAATGCAGATTTAGGTTGCGCTTTTAACGTAATAAAGCAATCAAGATCCCTATTTTATTTGGAATTTCTATTTACTTTGCTATAGCTCTGCTCGTATCTGTACAAATTCAAAAGTACAACTGCGCTTTGTTAACCAACTTTGTTTGTTTTTCAAATGCCAATTGCTGTTGGCATTGCAATTAAACATGCGAAACATGAGCACCCAGCACTGAGCCAAGAAAAATGCAACAGAAATAGTTGTATTGCCACAAAAATAAATATTTGGAGTGTTCCCAGAGGGGGGAGGCTTCAAATGACCTCATAAGAGAGAAGCAAAAAGGAAATTTGCGGAATGTTTGCCCTGAATGCCCACCCACACCGGGGCACAAAGAAATACACTTAAGAAGCGGAAGTGACATTTTGGAATGTCACAGGAGAGGCAGAAGGGAAGAAACCGAGAAAATAGGGGATGGACTCGGAAAAAGGATCACTCTATTGGCAACAAAGGAAGCACATATGCCTTAAGTGTTCCCGAAATCTCATTCGTTTCAGGTGAAAAGGGTTAAAGTCAATATGGTTTTAGCCATTTCTAAAGGCCTGAAGTGTGGTAAGTCCCTGGAAAGAAATAAAACATCCTTCGATTCGACATGCTTTCCAGCACTCTGGACACTTCACTGGACACTTTCATTTAAAGCCAAGTTCGGGTCATAAAATGCTTTCTTCGGCCGTCTTTGTGTGTCTTCCTTTTTTTTATGATTTGTCTGTCCCAGCCATAAAAGATTGCCAAGCAATTGAATCCATTGGCCACGAGCCTGTCCGTCGGTTTCATAATCAAATACATAACTTTATTTATGCTGGCCCATTCTTTCGCCCGGGCCCACAAAAAGTTTCCACCAAATTTGCTTACATTGGCGAAACAATAAAATTCCATTGTCAGAAAGGGATGCTCTCGGTCCTAGCCGGATGCTATTTTGTTAAGTGCGCGAATGTTGGCGCATAAATAAAAATATAATTGAGCTGCCACCCGCCTCCGCCGTTTGCTCCGTTCGCCAGCACGCAGATCAGATCCCTGGCCACAAGGCCCGAGGCTACTGGCTATGATGATGAGGAATTCAATGCACTGTTAGAAAAATTTGTTTTGTATGTAAAACTATTTGTATGTTTAAGAGTAATTAGTCAAGATTTTAGTCAAGGTGCTATTCTTAAAACAAAACTATTTAAGAACATATAAAGCTACAGCAAAAGAAATTGTTGTCTTCCTGAATTAATCAACTCTTTTTGTCTTAGTGTACTTTCACCCCTCTGACCTAGTGTATTGATTTTCGGCCCCGTTCAAATAAATTAGCTGCCATTAATTGGAAATGCGGGCGGGCGATTCACTCAAGCAGTGCACAATTTGGACCAAGATTCGATTCGTTGCCAAGGCTTAATTGATTAGCCTCGGCTAAGAGCTGCTTCTCCAAAACGACCCGCCTGCTGCCGCCCAAGTTGTCATTGCATTTAATTGCATTGCCAAAATAAGGATTCGGGCAACAACAATTAAATTTTATCTTCGCACCTGGACCAACTTTTCTGCCAGCCAGGCAATCGAGAGCCGAACTTCTACTGCCGTTGATGCCCCGTATAATTGAATTAATTTAAAATTGCCTAGAACCTTTATACCTGCTGGCCTGGCATTAATTTTGTAAAAGTTCATTTCTGTTTGCCAGCCATTTAAAATTTTAATTGAATTTATTGCCAACTATTCAGCAATTTGATTTCGCAGCAACTGCAGGCGTTGCCGTGCGGCGGACTTAGTTCATAATTGGGATAAACAGGATGATCCCATCAAAATGTGTTCTGAATTTATTTCATTTTGGGAGTGGACTTGAATTTTAATATGGAACTGTAATGTATTTCCCTAGTGAACGCTCATGTAAATAAAGCTTCAATTAAGAGTTATTATTCAGTGATTATTCAAGTTATTTATTTAATGATGCATTTTTTATAAGATAAGCAGGGATGGGTATTTATACAAAGGAGCCTTTTAAGGTTTTTAATGCCGTAACCCGAGTTTTAAATGTAAATATCTCCTCACTTCGACTGTCCAATTAAAGTCCGTGCTGGGTTTCCATCATTAGGGTGCAAAATTTCCATTTTTCTGGCAAAAACAAAGGTAACGAGTGCAAACACACTACTCACGACATCAATCACTTCGCCACACACAAAAATGCCATGGCACACAGATCGCAATTAATTTGCCCAAGCCAGCCAGCCTCAATTTGGTTTGGAGTCAGCCTGTGTTTGTCCTTCTCCTCTTGCAGCTGCCAGATGCATCTGACTGGGAGTCTGCAGTCCGTAGTTCGTAGTCTGCTGTCCACATCCAGCTAGTGCATCAGTATCTTCTCCTGGCAGCAGATACTCTTCTGCACTTTCAACCATCCGGACACCGATGGAATGCCAGCTCCATTGGCAAGCCGTCGTCTGCCGTGTTTGCCTGCATGTCAAATTCTCATTTCATTGAAATCGGCAAATATTGACTAAGAACTTCGATGCAATCAACGCTGCCGGCGACTGTGACAAATGGGCGTGGCATGTCGACATCTCGGAGTCAAATCGATGGTGCCGGCATATTTGCATGGCAACGAAAGTGAAACTGGGAGAGCTGAAAAAGTGAAAGCCCGAGGTTAGGCTTAAACTAATAAAGCGAGCACAGAATCAACGTTGGCTAAAACCACTTGACCCAAAAGTTGCAAAATAAACAGATTCCTCTAATATTTTGTAGGTCAGTTACAGAGCATAATATTTTGTTTAATAATTTAAGTGAATATATAAAAATATATTTAAAACTTCAAAGCACTAAATCTTTAGAATATATATTTGTAAAGTTCTATCGGCTTCTGAATGGCATTCTAGTTCCGCAGTTAATTTCGCAGCTTCTTTGCTGATTTTAAACAGCAATTAATGAACTTCTTAAGCAACCTTTTAGCCCTATCTTATTAGCCAGGTAAATGGAGCCACTTGGTTATTAAAACATTGCGGAAATTGCTACGCAACTTTTGCGTCAATAAACTAAACGGCTAAAACGGCCGAGGCCACTCAGCAGAATCCAGGAGGATAAGGATAATCAGGCCAGGCTTCCTTTGAAGCCAGGTGAAGGGAGACAGAAACACCTGGGGAGCGAGTCAAAAAACAATTTCGCCTCATTATCATTTCAACATATTGTATGCCCAAGTGTTTCAAATTGTTCAAAGAGAGCTGGGAAACTCGAAGGACGAGTTTCGGGCTCCTGATGAAGAAGTTTTCCCTTTACGTCCTTGTCGATGTGCTGGTTGCTGGTTGTCGGATGTGGCTGGTGGGAACGGAATGGGTGGCAAGTGTAGGTGCTGGCTGAAATCACTATGCTCATAAATGCGCCATGAATAAATTAACTCGCTGAAAAGCAAAAGCCAAGCTAAACTAAAAGCCGAGCAAAAACAAAGCCCAGCCAATGGGAGGTGAGGAGAGCCTTAGATTTCAAACGAATGATAATAATAATTGAAGCAGCGACCCAAGTACTTGTACATTGGTTAGATAATAACACTGTACATGTACACGGCAAAGTGTCTTGTGTATGGGCTGGCACTGGGAGAAACTCGAGCTAATTTGGGATACCTTTCGAATTTTTCTGAAAAATCTTTTATTCTTGAACCTGTAAGAACCAGCCTCCAATTAGAGGCATAAAAGACAATATTGTTTGCAAATCAAATTATATTTATTTCAATTCAATCACAAATTAATAAGTTTTAATAAGCCTTGTTTATTGATTTCTCCCATTGACTTCAGACCAACAAAAGCCACAACCATCTAAGCAACCGCTTAGTTGCTAGACAACCTCAAAATTCCCCGAAACTAGGGGGCTCGTAACGGCTTTATCGATACTTCCGGTAGACAAAGTTGCCCCTGGAAGTTTGTCCTCGGCCCCCAGCCGGAGCAGTCACTTTATGCCAAGATGTCCGTTGTACGAATTAATCCTCGCTTAGCCTCCGTGGCCGCCCGCCAGCGGCAGTCGCGGTCTACCCGGATGACCCGGCACAGCATCTTCACTTTGAAAAGGCCCATTCCCTTCCAGGTGCGCAAGTCGTTGGTGGAGTATGTGGACATGGAGCTGGCGGATATGGATACCTCGGTGTTCTATCAGCGCATATACATTCTGGCCAAAAACTGTCATTTAACGCCGGTGGAATCTGAAGAGGAGTTGCCAACCGAAGTGGTGGGGGACCAGGTTGAACCCGAACCAGTTGAAACGGAAGGCATGACATTTACCGCCGAAGTTGTAGTGGAATCCGAAGACGATTCTCCCACTACAACAATGGGAGAAGCAGCGCCTATCCCTCAACCGGAGGATGGTGGCCGGGACACTGCGGAACACGAAAAGGAATTGGCCACCCACACGTTCCGTTTCAGCGAGGTGGATGTTGTAGAAGAGCTGGAGATTGAAGAGCATGAAGTCGAACCAGAAATTCAAGCGCCTGACAAGCCCAAGGACTTCTTCGCCATCTTTTGCGAGCATTTGCAGGAGTTGCATAAGCAATGCAAGGCGCAGTCCATCACCCCGGATCCCTTATGCGGATTATTCCTCCATATGGGCGACTATACCATGCTGATGTTGGAGTCCTCCGAGGATATGATTGGCTGCTTCAGTCGGGCCTTGGCCAATAGCTGCGAGAACTACTGGGTGATGAACCGCGTCTTCCAGATCGAGGATCACATTCAAGAATTGTTCACCAAGGATCTTATCTTCCGCCGTATCCCTGCTGTCTTTCTGAACGAGAAGTTTCCCACCTCTACGCCCACCGATGAGTATCTGATGGGAAAGCAGCATCTGATCATTAAAGACAAACTGTTGACCATCTGCCGGCTGATCTCAGATGGCCAGCAGCTGGATCCGGATGGGTTCTCCTTGCACGACAGTGATCTCGAAGATGACTTGCCAAAGTCCAAGTCCAAGACTTCGATCCAAAGTGAACATTTGCAGGCGGACGTGTATCGCAAACACCTGCCTGAGATCCAGCGGATCGAGCTGGTTCTGGCCTCCACGCGATTCTACTACGAGCTGAACGAATTCGCCGATGTCTACGGTCGGGTGCCCTTCGGTCCCGACGAGGAGGGACTCTTCTGGCCCATCCAGAACAACTACACACCTCCGCACATCTTCCGGCGCACTCCCTATGACATAAATCTTACATTTGCGGATTATGCGTTGCAGGTTAACAAGAGGAAAACCCATGAGAGCCTGGTCGGGAGTTTTGAAGCCGAGGAGGAGGAGGAGTCCCCGCAAAAAGAAACTCCTCCGAAAACCGAATAGCGGTTCTTAATTTTCGTTTTATTTCGGTTTAAGTTTTGTCTTTCGCTTTTAATAAATAATTGTTGAGAATATCTACTAGAATTTCATTAATTATGAAAGCGTTTTGAGACCGTTTTGGCTTTATAAATTCCTTAAGAACTTAGATCAAGCTGTTGTCGGTTAGAAAATCTAGTTAATGAAGAGCTTTCAAACGCTTTTAAATTTTTAAAGAAACTCTCAACTTTGGAATCCTCATTTTCTGAGTGTGTAGCCGTCATCGTCGTCATCAAGAAGGAGCGGCAGTTTTCGCTGTTATCTCTGAAACTCGCGCTCGGTTACAATGTTTTCGGCATTGTGCACATGACTGCATCTCATCCGGGGGAAGGTGGAAGAGAAGAAGATGGCACCTATAAAGGTGTGGGGTTGTTTTCGGTTGTGGTGTGGTTTTAGCCCAGTTGAGGCTGTCTTGTTTTGGCTTGCCACTTGAATGGCTCGACTTTGTTAACATAAACATAAATTCGCTGTGTGAGTGCGCACATGTGTGGGCTGGCTGAATGGTGTGCCTTTTAACATAAACCGCATCAGACGCCAGCTGTCAGTTGTAATACCGCCAGAGCTCCGAGCTTGCAGCTGTCAAAAGCCGCTGCTGCTGCCATTTAAAGTCACTTGACAGTGGGCCAAAAGAAACACAGCGCTTAGTGGGGATTGTGCGGGTTAAGGGTTGGCCAAACGTGATGGGGTTAGGCCGAGGTTTGCTCAAGAAAGTTGCCTAATAAAGTTCAATGTTTACTCACGATTAATCATGCCCCGAGGAGGCAAAAGGCGTTAAAACGTGAATTTGTTAGACAAATCGAATACAAGTTGTATTGGTGGTGCGATGATTAAAGGCTCTTGATTATTGTATTACTTAAATTTGTGTATGTATTATTATGTTTTATTGGCAACCTTTCCATCTGCCCTCTCCTCTTGGGCCAAGCAATTAAATGACATTACCCCTTGTGGCTTAAAAATGAGGGTTGCCGCGAGAACATGTTTAGAAATTGAGCTGAAAAAGTTAATTAAACTTTGGTTGAGCCACTCCGCTAATGCTCACCTCTGATGCTTTTACTGAGCCTGCTCTATGCGCCTGCTGTTTGGCAGGATGGTGGACATGCAATGACAAGGACACAATTCAATCAAGCGCCACAGGAGCTGCAGCAACTGGCGCACAGACAGCGAGTGTCAGCGCATAAACAAGGACATTGCACTCCTGGGTGCCCAATATGCCTGCAGGTGGGTTTTCCTTTTCCCTACGTTTTCCCAGCGAGAGGAAAAGCCAAACATTTGCCGTTGCAGTTTTCATAAACTGCCAGACAGCAGCAGCAGCAGCAGCAGCTGAAAAAGTAACAACAACCACATCAAGGTTGGCCGAGACAATGGCGATAAGCCGCTGGTGCAGTGGCTCCTGCTCTCCGTGTTTTCGATTTCGGACTTTTACCCGTACTCTGGTAACGGTCTACGGACTCCGGACTACAGACTACGGCACGAGAATGTTTCGGTTACGTGTGGCCCACAACTTGAGGCGCAAACTCATAAATTACACAGGCGAGAGTGAAGGGCCAAAAAAGGCGGCTAAAATGACTTTTGGCTGCTGTTGCTGCTGTTCTGGCTGCTGCTGCTGCTGCTGTTGCTGTTTTTGGCCCATCAAAAGTGAAACTGTTTGCTGCAGTCGCTTAAGGGGCGTTTGGGCGTGGCCTTAGCCTCCACTTTACTCGGTCTGGGGCGCCAAAGACCAGGCATAATTTAAGCCAAACTCAATTTTCTTATACCCTCGCCAAGGCTTGCCATAAAACTAAAGGTATTCCGAAATCAAGTAACCACGTGAAACGTTTGTTTCGAGTCAAGTTGTAAAATTGAATATTGATTGGAAAAGTATTCAAGGTCTGCAGGCAAATATCAAGAAAAGTACTGAAATATAGGATAGCAGTTAGTCATTAACATATTTCTCTCGGCTCTGTTTGTAACTCCAAGCTTTTAATATCTTTAACACAGTTTAAAGGAGTCTTTGGTTGACTTGACCTGCACTGAGTGCAGTTTTAAATTCGGTTTTCTGAACTCGTGCATCCCTCGTTTGCTTATAATACTTTAAAGGCAGACAAAAGAGCCTGGGAAATAGAGAGTGCAAACTAACTAAAATATATATTATGTGCTGTGTATACAAAAACGAAAACAATTTTGCGGCGCGATAAACGAATTTCCCGACTTTTGTTTTTGCCAGCCAGCTGCTCCTCCTGCCTTTTGGCACGAAAAGGATTTTTGGCAGCAAAAGGCGAGTCAAGGATAACATGGCAACGTTTCGCAGATTTGCAGGAAACAGCAGAGGGGCTGGCCTAAAACGGCGAGGCAGTCTCCCTGACACGGGTCCAGATTGCATTTCCCGGACAACGATTGCCAACTAACTGCCACGAAAAGGAACGTTTCAAAGGAAGGAGAAGAACGTGGGCCTGGATAGGATCTGATCTGATATAAGGGAGAAACTGCAATTAGTCAAATGAGCAGGACGTGAACCATATTTCATCGGGATAAGACAACTTTTGACTTACGACGGCCAAGTCAACAAACTTTTCCACAATTTATGTCTGCCCAGAGTATTGACTTTTGCCTAAAGAAATTGCGTGGGCCGTGTTGCCACATTCATCATACGCCTAGTTGTGCTCGCTTTAAATCAAATTAAATGCCTAGAGTTTAATTCCCAAAACAATCACAAAGTTTTGCCATAAAAGGGACCCCGAAAATGTCCTTAAACCACAAAAAACGACTGCGGAAAATATGAAAGAAATTAAAAATAATAGCGCACATAAAACCACAAGCTGCCTGGGGATGCTGGGAAATTAAGCGTGAAAAAATCAGTGAAAATGCCTGGAAAATAGAGCGAAACCCAAACTGACTGACTGGATGTCTGGCCGACTGGTTGACTGGTTGACTGGTTGACAACCGTGTCTGGCCTTGGAAATCCAACCATTCGGGCGCGTTTAATTTCGAGCATTAAGGATATCTCAGTCCGAGGTTGTTTACATGCGTGTGTGCTCCTGCCTAATATTCACTGGAAAAAGCACAGTGCTGATCATATTTTTATTTAAAAAGGAAAATCCTTTCGGAAATTTGATATTTTGGATTCCAAATAAGTTTTTTTTCGAGTGCACATATGCATATTTGTCTTTCGCGCTTTTGTTTATCTTGAATTTGCCTGTCGCCTTTTTTTTTACACTTTTCCTCACATATTTATTATCATGTCGGTTTCGGTTTGCGTTTCCGCTTCCGCCGTTTTCCCGCTCTAATGAAAACCTCCAACTGTCCCTTTTTTGGGCTGGCATGGCAAATGTTTATTATGTGATTATGCTCAAGTTTAGCGCCCGTAGCACTGAGGTCTATCCCAGGAATTCCTGTCCTGTCCTGGGCTTTCCTTTTTCCATTTTCTGCCTACTCCCATCTGACTGTTGACCGGCGGCAGGATTTGGCCTTTTGCCCGAATCTGTTTGTTGTTTTTGTTAAGGTTTCCTTTTTTCCTTCATTTTCTTTCCGTGCTTTAAAGCTTTTGTCATCCCTTATGGCTGGATGTCTCTGGATCGGGACCCTACGTTGTCGTTTTAAATTACATTGTTACAAGTGTTTCCTTACTTTCCCTGTCATCTGTCGCAGTCCCTGTCTTCTGAGAAAGACTAAAACGATGATTTATAGGACACTGCGACTAAGCCTGCTCGTAAGGTTAGAGTTCAGACAGTAGATCAGGTTTTGGGCATAATAATTGGATGACCAGGACACCCCAGGGGCCACTCATTAAGCTAGAATTCTTCAGAAAGGCTTCTTTAAATTCTGTAAGCAACACTCGACTGGATAAGTACTCGCCCACCACTTAGGTTAAGTAAAGTTCATCGCCTGAGAAGGATTTTATAAATATTTTTAGCCCACTTCAAGTGATGGATTTAATTATACGAGTATATGTATCTGTACAAGAAAGAGCTGGGCAAACACATCACAGTGAAACATTTGGCAAAGTAAACACCCAGAGCGATCCCATTAAAAAGCATTTCCACGTTGGGCGCACAGCGGGTGCGGGAAATGGTAAATGTAAGCGGAAAATTGGGGGTAAATTCAGTGGCATTGTGCGAACAGTATTTTCGGTACGCAGTAATTAACTGGTCTGTCACATAAGTCGCATTAACACAATGTTATAAATGTTCTTGCAGCTGCTTCTTCTAGTGCCAAACATTGCATGTCAGGCACATTAAGTATACGCCACATGCGGCGCATTTACATAGATTTGCAATGTTCGTGGCATACGAAATGGCAGGCAGCTTATTAATTCCACTTCCACATGACTGGTGCGTGCGTGTGGGAAAAGTGGGAAAAGTTTTTTCTTTCCCCGAAGTTTTGTCTTGAACTTGCTCCAATCTTTCCCATGCAAATTAATTAAAGCCTGATCCTGTTAAAGGTTCGTTCGGTTTTTGTTCAGTTAATTAAATTGCCATGTGAGCGGCCATGAATTGAGTTAATTTGCGCAAATCCAATGCACAATCAAAAGCCGCAAATTATCTTCAATATTTTCCTGCTGTCCGTGTGCAATTTTTCCGCTTCTTTTTTTTTTTTTTTTGGTTTTTCCAGCGTAAATTGAGCGAGTAAAAATGCAACAACAAAAAAGCAGGAAAAACATTCCGGCTGCCTTTTGATTTAATTTTGCGGCTGTTGGCCGTGACAAACTATATGGAAAACCGGAATGCAACAGCCGGAGCAGAAAAACATTAATTTTAAATTAATGATTGCAGTTTGAGTTTGAAGCGGCGAAACGAAGTCTCGTTTATAAGCGCCGTCTCATCTGATTCGCTTGTTAAATTGATGGATCTTGTACAGTATTTAATTTTAATAATTCACTGTGTCCTCTTGTCAGCACAAACATCTTTTCTTGAACAGAATTCAAACTTTATCTTTGTCGGATTATCAATTGTCTGATTGCCAAAACATGTTCTCCCAGTTGGTTAAATAAAACCAAAACACGCACACAATTATCGCCTCAAAATATTGATTATTAAGCGCATCTCAAATGCCTTTTAAGT